CCATTTGTTTATGTCATCTTCAGTATCTTTCATCAGTGCCTTGTGGTTTTCCTTGTAGAGATCTTTTATCCCCTTGGGTAAATTTATTTCTAGGTATTTTTTTTTTTTGGTAACTTTTATAAATGGAAATGCCTTCTCGATTTCTCTCTTAGCTAGTTCTTTATTGGAATGTAGAAACACTATTAATTTTTGTATTTTGATTTTGTGTCTTGCAAAAATGTACTGATTTATTTATCAGATTTAAGAGTTTTCTGGTGTATTCTTTAGTCATTTTTAAATATAAAATTATATTATCAGCAAAGAGTGACAATTTGACCTCTCCAACTTGGATGCCTGTTATTTCTTTTTCTTGCTTGCTTGCTTGCTGTGGCCAGGACTTCTGGTACTATGTTGAATAAGAATGGTCAAAGTAGGCATTTTTGTCTTGGTCATTCAGTATGATGTTAGCTGCAGATTTGCCTTATATGGCTGATAGAGTTTGGATATTTGTCCCTGCCCAAATCTCCCATTGAATTGTAATCTCCTATTCTGAAGGTGGGGGCTGGTGGGAGGTGTTTGGGTGATGGGGGTGGATTCTTAACTATAGTAAGTGAGTTCTCATGAGATCCAGTCATTTAAAATTGTGTGGCACCTTCTGCTGTACTCTCTCTTGCTCTCTCGTTCCTGCTTTCACCATGTAATGTGCCTGCTTCACCTTTACCTTCTGCCATGATTGTAAACTTTCTGAGGCCTCACTTGAAGTTGAGCAGATGCCAGCACCATGCCTCCTTTAAAGCCTGGGCCAATTAAACCTCTTTCCTTTATAAATTATCCAGTCTCAGATATTTCTTTATAACAGTGCAAGAATTACCTAATAATACAGTGGCCTTTATTATATTGAGGTGTATTCCTCCTGTGCCTAGTTTATTGAGAGTTTTTATCATGAAAGGAGATTGAATTTTATTAAATGCTTTTTCTGCATTTATTGAGATGATCATATGATTTTTGTCCTTCATTCTGTTAATGTGATGTATGTTTATTTATTTGTGTGTGTTGTGCCAAACTTATATTCCTAGAATACATCACTTCATCATGATGTATTGTTGTTTTGTTTTGTTTTGATGTGCTCTTAGATTCAGTTTGAGAATTTTTGAGTCTGTGTTATCAGGGATATTGGCCTATAGTTTTTTCTGTTGTAGCCTTGTCTGGCTTTGTTATCAAGGTAATGCTGGCCTTATAGTATGAGTTAGGAACAATTCCTTTGTCTTCTATTTTTTGGAATAGTTTGAGGAGAATTAGTATTAGTTCTTCTTTGAAGGTTTGGAATTCAGCAATGAAGCCATCTGGTCCTGGACTTTTTTTTGTTCAGAGAGTTTTTATTACAGATGCAATTTCCTACTTGTTTTTGGTCCTGTTTTCTGTTTCTTCCTGATTAAATCTCAGTGGGTTGTATGTGTCCAGGAATTTGTCCATTTCCTCTAGATTTTCTACTTTTACATAGTTGTTCATAATAATCTCTGATGATCTTTTTGTATTTCCATAGTATCCATTGTAAAGTCTGCTTTTTCATTTCAGATTTTGTTTATTTGGGTCATTTCCTTGGTTAGTCTAGCTAGCAGTTTATCAATTTTGTTTATCATTTTGAGAAACCAACTTTTCATCATGTTGATCCTTCTTTTTTTTTTTTTAATCTCTTATTTTGTTTAGCCCTGCTCTGATCTTCTTTCCATCTACTAGTTTTGAATTTGTTCTTGCTTTTCTAGTTTCTTGAGAAACTAGATTGATTGTTAGATATCTTTCTACCTTTTTAATGTAGGCATTTAATGCTATAAATTTCCCTTTTAGAACAGTTTTTGCTATATCTCATATATTTTGGTATTTTGTTTTCTCATTTGCTTCAATAAATTTTTATATTTTCTTAATTTCTTTCTTGATCTGATGGTCATTCAGGAACATGTTGTTTAGTTTTCATATATTTGCACAGTTTCCAGAGTGCCTCTTGTTACTGATTTCTAGTTAATTTTATTGTGTCTGAGAAGATATTTGATACGATTTTGATTTTTTTAAAAAATGGCTGATAACGTTTTGTATTCTAACATATGTTCTAAAAAATGTTACATGTGCTGATGAGAAAAATGTGTGTTCTGTAGCTGTTGGATGAAATGTTCTGTAAATGTCTGTTAGGTCCTTTGATTTAATGTGCAGTTTAAGTCCAATGTTTCTTTGTTAATTTTCTGTCTGACTTTATCTCCAGTGCTTAGAGTAAGGTGTTGAAGTCTCCAACTATTGTTGTATTGAAGTCTGTCTCTCCCTTTAGATATAATAATATTTGCTTTATGTGATAATGTTTGCTTTACGTGTCTGGGTGCTCCATTGATACATGCATGTGTTTTAAGTTGTTATATCCCGTTGTTGAATTGAGCCATTTGTCTTTAAATAATGGCCTTCTTTATCTTTTTTGTTGTTGTTGTTATTTTTTTACTTAAAGTCTGTTTCATCTGATAAGTATAGCTGCTCCTGCTTGCTTTTGGCTTTTGTTTGCATGGAGTATCTTTTTCCATCCCTTTACTTTCAGTCTATATGTGTCTTTACAGGTGAGGTGAGTTTCTGGTAATTAGCATATAATTGGATTATGTTTGTTTAATTCATTTAGCCAGTCTATATCTTTTAAGTGAAAAGTTTAACTCCTTTACATTCAAAGTTATTATTGACATGTGAGGGCTTATTCCTGTCATCTTATTAATTGATATCTGGTTGTTTTGTATATTCTGTGTTCCTTTCTTTCTCTCTTATTGCTTATCTGTAGTGCTAACATTTGATTCTTTTCTGTTTCTTGTTTGTATGTTTTGCTTTATCGGTGGCATTTATATTTGCATGATGGTAGATATCATTCTTTTCACTTCTAGGTGTAGGATTCTCCTAAGCATTTCTTGTAGGGCTGGTATAGTGGTAATGAACTCCCTCAGCTTTTGCTTGTCTGGGAAAGGCTTTATTTCTTGTCATTTATAAAGGATAACTTTGCTGAGTATAATGTCAATTAATATCCATATTTTCTCTTAGCACACTTAAGATCCATCATCCTATTCTCTTAAGGTTTCTGCTGAGAAATCCACTGTTAGTCTGATGGAGATTTCTTTATAAGTAACTAGATGCTTTTTTTTTTCTTTCCTTTCTCCTTTCCTTTCCTTTTCTCCTTTCCTTTCCTTTTTTCCTTTCTCCTTCCCTACTCTGTTTCCTTCCTTTCTTTTTTCCTTCCTTTCCCATTTTTCTTCCCTTCCCTTTTTCCTTGTCTTCCCTTTTCCCTTCCCTTTCCTTTTCCTTTCCTTTTCCTTTTCCCTCCCCTCCCCTCCCTTCCCCTCTCTCCTCTCTTTTTCTCCCCTCCCCTTCCCTCTCCTCCTCTGCCCTCCCCTCCACTCCCCTCCTCTCCCCTGTTGATCTGTCACCCAGGCTGGAGTGCAGTGGCATGATTTCAACTGGCTGCAACTTCTACCTCCTGGGCTCAGGTAGAAGCCTCCCACTTCAGCCTCCAGGTAGCTGGGACTACAGGTGCATGCCACCATGCCCAGCTAATTTTTATATTTTTAGTAGAGATGGGGTTTCACCATGTTGCCCAGGCTGGTCTTGAACGCCTAGACTCAAACAATCCACCCACCCTGGCCTTCCAAAGTGCTGGGATTACAGATGTGAGCCACTGTGCCCAGCCTATTCTTCTTTTTCAAAAGTTGTTTTAGCAGCTCACAACAACTTTGATGGGTACAAACAGTAAAATTTGTACTTCTGGCATGTGAAAATGTGCAGCCATCTTTCTGCTGGGGGGCCAGGTCACTGCTATTGGCTCCCACCTTAGCCCTGGCCACAGCAGCTGCAGACCAGGAATGTCAGTGGGGCTCCAGGGATTTTCCATTGGGCCCCAGGGCAGGGCACAGTCTCTGGGGGCTGGGCTCCCAAAATGGCATCAGAGTATTGTTAATTAGCAGCTTTTTTAGCAGCTGCTTAGGGCTTAGGGGATTGTGGGACTCAACATGAGCTCTTCCTCTCTGGAGCAGTGCTTTTCCAGGCAGTCTCCTATGTTAGTCTCAGGACCCACAAGGGCCAAAGGACTCTCGTGGCTAGGATTGTAGGAGTCTGCAGCCAGAGTGTGGACCACTGGAGGTCTCTCATTTACCTTTTCCCTGTATTAGGGAGACTCTCTAACTCCATTAGTAGGTTTAAATACTGATGAGAGTCTTTCTCTGTGTGATACAAACTAAGCAAATGCATTTTCTTCCACTTTCTAGCAAAATCCCACTGAAATGCTTTCATCCATTTGGCTCACCATGCCATCACTTCTCCACTGAAATGGCTGGTCCAAGGCCAAGTCTTCAGGCATTTGATCCTCACTGCAATGCTATGGTAGTCAGAAACCCCTTTTACGCTCTTTAAAGTATCTTTTGAAAAATAGAATTTCTTTATTTTTATAGTCCAATTTGTCACTTTTCTTTTGTGGTGTTAACTTTTTGTGTCCTGTTGAAGATTGCCACAATCATGAAAATGTTCTTCTAGGTTTTTCCTTTAAAAGTTTGTTTTACCTCTTGCAGAATCAAATCAGCTAGAATTGATTTTTGTTTATGATATAAGAAGAGAATCAAGATACAGTTTTTTCCCATGTGGATCTTCAGGTGACACATTACCGTTTATCAAAAAGACCATCTTTTCCCCGGTGCACTACAGTGACACCATGTTATAAATCAGCCGACTATGTATGAATGGGTCTGTTTCTGGGCTCTCTGTTCTAATACATTGGTCAATATGTTTATCTTTGCACCAGGAAATGGTTATTTAAAAAATAACATAGGATTTTTTAATGAATTTAATATGTATGTACTTCATATCTGTGAGTTAGCCAGACATCAGCATCTTTATCCCAATGCTTTGAGATCATTTAAAAATTTCAGTATAAGTAAAAAGATGGGATTGAAATTTGTGTAGTTCTTACAAAATATTTTTAAAAGGTTATTTTACATTTTTCATGACTTTTGCAGGTTTGCATGGATGTGT